CACCTGATTTATGATTTTTTCCCTAGATTAATCCTGGAGAAAAATACTTATCAATCAGATTCGTAACTTTAAAATTTTAAAATTTCGGTTATTCCCTTTTAGCATCATCCTAGAATTTTCTTAGACGAACAGTTGACTACACTTGTCATACCATCGTCATATACCAGAATATTTATGGAAATCTTGTATTAAGGATTAAATTAGGCCGTCAAAAACAATTACAGAAACATTGAAAAGAGCCCAGTTTACAGATGAAGCTCGATAATTTTGTTTAGAAAGGAATCAATGCCTGCGCGAAAAGCCAGTCATTGCAAGAATACTATATCTCTACAGAGTTAAATTCTATCAACCTCTGCTTGATTTTTAATCATTCAGCAACTGAATTAGTAGTCTAAACAAAACTATGATATCTCTCAAGATTTCTGATGGAAGATATATTATTCATTGTGCTATATGCCACCACTGACCATTTAATTTAATATTGTGGGAATATGGAAGACTTCAATCAAGAAAAAGTAGCAGAAAAAACACACACCACAATATCAATGTTAGGTGGATATTTAGGTGCTTACGATATATAATAAAGCAGAAGATGCTTTGATTAGTGGAATACACACTCAGCCTACACAAAGTGATGGTGATCAACCTCAGTCATATTCACCTATTTGAATACATTAAACTATGGCAGAAAGGTTCACAGAAAACAATAATGTATCAGATATAATCTAGAATTGTGCACACTTGTCTACTGATTTAACCACTGCTATCTAATGGCATGGAAACTAACCAAAATATCCCATAAGAAAGCAGCTAAATGAACATGTTGAGAACAAAATAGTATAGTCCCTTCATTGAGAATCATTCAGGCTTAAGTTGAAGGCAAGATTTAAATAAATATACGCTTCCCCTCCCTAGAACCTTTAGCTATTAGATGAAATGATTCAGAGAATCAATGGATAAGTGAAACTAAACGCTGATTTAAGTTTCTGATTCATGAACCGTTCATCACTTTCCATGGTACAGACTTTAGAGTGGTGATAATTAGGAATTTAGACACAACTGTATTAACTTAAACAAGTAGAGTCGTACAGGATGATTCGACAGTGTTTAGCCAGATAAGATTGCATACATTAACTTGACACGAAAGCAAATACAAGACATAGCCACTTAACTATGATTGAGCTTCAAATCCACAATTGACATGCCTTTAATCTAGTAAACAGGTCTTCCATGAAATCTTGCAATATTTTGTGGATATGCAATGGAGTCTAAAACCCATAAAGCGCCATTATTTGTAGCAGTGGTTGAGCTGGGTTTTTTTTCAATTGATTCTGACCAAGTAGTCGTAGTAGTAAGTGGTGTGATATCATGGATGCTTGGACGCCTCTTATCTTTGCCTCCAGTAAGCTGCCTTAGAAAGTACTTTTGAGCATGGCTGGCAACTTGAGTAGGTGTTTTGGAGATCACAAAATTGCGCGATATATTTCTCCAGTCACCTTTTCCGTGTCTTTCAAGTCCCAGCAGGAAACGCCTAACAAGCAAACAGATATTACTTAACACTAATTGAATTATTCAATCAAGCTAAGAAAAAACATGTTATGAATTGAAATTTCACCTGTGTTCCTCCTCAGTCCATGGTACACCTTTCTTTCTTTCTTGATCGCAAGACCTTCCTCTCTTCCTATAAGCATCAAAACTGCGATTTTCTCCCAATCCAAATGTGAAAGAAGCGGCCAAGTATCCTGGAATCGGGACCAAACCAGCTTCAATATTACTAATATCTTTCACCAGTTCCCTGTACTGGTTCATCACATCAATCACTGATTTGCCTGGGATCATGGATGCCACCTTATCCCATCTGTAGGGGGTATTTTCATCATAAATTACAATAGCACGCTCGAATTTCTTGTTCTCTTCTCTTGTCCATATTGTGCTTTTCCTTTGTTGTGACATGAATGAAGCTGGATACAAGGTTTCCATACCTAAAATGCCTAAACCACTTTCCCCAAGCCTTAACACACTACAATTTGACAGCTCAATACTTGTAGCACTAGTCTTGAATGTGAAAGGAACCAAGACAAGTGGGGTATGGTGATAAAAGTCAGGTTTTGTATAGTGATATGATAACAACTGAAATCGAAATTATAGAACGAGAATCAGAATACTACTTTTTTCCAAACGGCATACATTGAGGAATATAGAAAAGATTTGCCATTTCAGAATCTCGAAAAAAAATATCATAGAAGGGCAAGAAAAGCTAGATCAAGATATTCAATTCGAAAGTAACTAATGATCCTTGTAGCACTTTACACATAAATGATATCAGTATTATCGAGAATTGTGGATGTGGATGAAACCAAAGGAGAATGGAATGAAAAACATAGATGAAGTATACTTATAAGGTAAAATGGTTGCTTCCCTCTGACTATAAGAAATCGATCAAGGTTTAGGCTGCTTGGATGCTATGCAAGTTGCTTAGCAATGAAAATCACTTTTGTGTCAGCAAAGCAGATTACGAGGCTATCTGATATCAGACTCAATCAGCATACAAAAGTAGGAAAGATTGGCACTGCATTATTACTATGCTCATTGCTCCTTTTTACCACTTTAATATCAAATTGCACTTTTTGATATTATTCAATCATTTTTTCATAACAATCAAGAGGCGTACTATTAGCAAAGCACGGTGCGGATAATTACCAAGTAATATGGATAATAAGTGTAACATCATAGTGAGTTTCTATCACAAGAAAAATTATTCAAATTGTACGCGACACATTAACTAGTAGTTATCTCTATTTACATGTGAAAACTATTTGTTTGCAGTGCATGCACATTTTACTCTCTTTATGTATTTGTTCTATCCATTTGACTAAACAAATAATTAGAAGATAACCATTAAGGAAACTAAAAAAATGACCAGAATCTTTTAAGTTTCTTTTGTCAATATTGTTCTTATGTGCATCATTGCAAATACTTTTGTCCTTATTATAAATTTTATTTATAAGACAGAAATTTTGGGCACAAATAATAATTTCTCAGGGAACAATATTGCAGCATATTGTTATAGGCCATTTGAATTTGTTCTCGTCTCCAATCTTCGAAAATTGGCACTTAAGTCTACAACTTTTTCCTTTCGTGGCGCCCTTGAGCCAGTACCCATTGGACTAAAATAGTCTGCGTCACTGTTAAATATGCCAGGTACAATGCGGAGCACCTAAGGTTTATTTTTTTTAAACCGTAAGTTTTAATAAAAAAAAGAAAAAAGGATAAACTGAAAGTGCCTTGGCGTCTTTCCATGTTCTTGAGTATAACCTTTAGCACCGAAAGTGCCTTGGCGTCTTTCCAAGCTACCAACGTAGCGAGTCATAATGTTAAAAAATCATTTACAACCAATCACATGCTTGCCTTCGGGCAATGATAACAATACACAAGCACCTGTCTTTTCGAGAGCATTAAGTTCTTTCTCGACAGCATTTTCCAATATTAAATAGCATCTTATATATATTTGATAATTTCATTTGTTTTCAAGAAACTCTTGTAGCTCAGTGGGCCAGAGACTTGTAGCAAGCAGGGGGTCTTGAGTTTCAATATCTACTAGAACAATCTCTTATTTAGTTATTTTTAGTTTAATATTTTCCTTTACTTTGAAGCATTGTTAGTAAATCAATGCAATGAGAAAGATTTGAACATATACTCCCCTTTAGAATTATGGAAAGCTTGATCACTATGACATTTGGTGGATGTTAACATTAAATGTAATAGAAATATATATGTTCAGTTTTAGCAAAATAATAAATATTTACTTATTAAAAGTGGTGCAATGGGAAAGATTTGAACCGATTCTCCCATTTGGAATTATGGAAAGCTTGACCACTATGGCATTTGGTAAATGTTAAAATCAAATGTAACAAAAACATAGTAATAGATATATATGATTTTTATTGTGGCCATTGACAGTCAACGGCCGCCCATGCTCACTCGAGATCCTAGTCTCAATGTGGTATAGATGGTTCAAGTTCTGCAACATCTAGAGAATCAATAGGAATTAAACCATTAAAGGATAACAATTCAGAACTTGACAGTCTTAAATTCTTGTGAGAATAAGTATGTACAATAGGAGGTCGCAAAGCACCAGAGGAACGATTGGAAACATTAGATTCAGAGGAAACATTACCATTGGGCTCATTAGCAGCCCTAATACAGAGGATTTCTATTTTGGTGGGTGGTGAAGAGTTTGGATGCAATAATATGCTATTTTCTCAAGAAAAACATGTCGGGAAACAAAGAACCGGTCTATTTTTAGATAATAACGATACATGTTTGTGTAAAAATTGCAAGTGTCCGATATCAAATAAATAAACAGTAAAGTAGACCTAGAGAATCCAAATTATTGTCCCACAAAAACTATTTTATTCAACTATTGGTTTGACTAGTTTAGTAAAAATCAAATTTATTAATCTAAAAACTACTAAATTACAAAATCAATTAAAAAGTGTGCAATAGACTGTTTTGAGTTTTAACTTATGTACGAAAAGTACTAGAATTCTCGAGTTCACCATAATTATCTCCCTTAATCCCATTTCTCGAATTTTGACAACAATCAATTATGTATATCCAGTCGAATTCTCTAAATTAATGGACATATCTCAAGTTTAAACCAGTTCCACTTAATTAAACTAACTCACTATGCCCCTGTTTGGCCCCCATTATTTTGCATTTTTGGGGGTTGAAAATTTTTAGAATAGTGATTGATGGGAGAATGCGTGGTTGAATTTTTTTTGATTTGTATGTAATGTTATTTTATTTGATGAATGTGTGGTTGAAATGAAGAGAAAGAAAAATTTAATGTAATGTAATGTAATTTAATGAGGACCAAACAAGGGCTATATCTCTATGAGACCTGAACAAATAAAATTGTATTTTTACCTTCTCAAATTCCAAAATTTACTATGAGACCTGAACAAATAACTCACCTCTCGTCTAGTTACTATTCACAAATCAATGAAATAAAGGCCAATTATTTCAAAGCATGAAGATAGAAGCCAAAGTTACACACAATATTCAATTGAAAATCAAAACTTGATAATAAAAATTAAGGTTTCAAACTAAGTTACAATAGTTCACCCTAAGCCACCATTTCGTATGAATTATAATTTAGATTTTAATCTAAATCAAAATCAATAGTGAATTTTAATCACATATTTCATATGACCCACAACTTTCAATCACTCATTTCATCAACTTTTATCAAAATCTGCTAAAAATCATATTTTAATCCCCGTCACACATGGGCTAAATAAAGAAATTAGTTACATAAAATACATCTTCAAATCAAAGTACATATATAATCGAATTGCACCACAAAGAGAAGAGAAGAATCATTGTACCAAGTTCTCCGCCTTCAAGTCAAGAAAGAAATTCAAACCTTTAATGCACTATTGTTAAAGTGTTTTTCTCCTCAAAATAATCTCTATGGTAATGTATATTGATGTATGATATGTTCTGAGATGTGTGTAAGACAACATGAGGGCTTTCTAATTTATATAGGTTTTCAAAAAGTCCAAAAAGATGGTTGGAAAAGCTAAAACACCCCAAAATCAAATTTCCTAGTCGTAACGGAAAGTTCAGATCCGGTGTATTGGCCTGGTTGCCCATCCCCGCCTAGACGAGAAGGAAAAAACCAATAACAAGCAATAGGGCAGTAGGATTCGCCCTGGATGCCAGCTCTAGCCTATCTCTCACCAGCTGTTGCTGAGATGACAAGAAATTGCAAGAAAACTCCATATTTGCTCACCACACTCGGCTTCTACTTAATTTACACAGAAAATACTTATACATAGTAAACTCAAGATTTTCCCAACAAACTTGAGATTTCCATAGCAAACTCAAGATTTGACCATTTAACTCATCCAAATGTCTACAAATTCAATATTTGCCAAGTTAAAACTCGTCATTTCACCCATCAAACT